CGCATTTTTTGTTATATTTTGCAAAAGAAATGCGATAAGCTTCAAGATGAGGTTTGAACCCCCAATCTTAAACACCCAAAGCAAACATAGAACTAACACGCCATTAGGTTACTTCAATAATGATATTACTGGTTGATTAATTATTAGTCTTTAAAGCTCCTTCACATCAATCATCAAAGACTATAATGATATTTTAGCTTCTTCCTAATTTTCCACACCTAAAACTAATTAAAATTGACTATTTCTAAGTTTCATTGGTAAAATCATTCAACATTTGTATTAATCCACAACTAGACAAACAAGGAAACTTCCAATACGCAATATTTTCAAAGTTCAACAATTTTGGGTTCTAGCTAGCTAGCCTTTTCACAAGATCGATAGGACTAGAAAGATACTTGCCATATATAAATAGTCCAGCCACCACCTATAATTTTAATGAAAAATATATTTTGTTTTTATCATCATATACAAAATTGTATATGGGTATTCATTGTTCAGTTTAAATCTATTTTAATTCACTCTAAAAGAAAATCGAACTCATAAAGTTACGAATTTCAATAATTAAGTTGGTATTCCTAGCTTTAGATTTTTGTTGGTTCTATTTTTATTTTTTAGTAGATATGCGATGCTATACTTCCAAACACATATATAGTAGAGTACGTGGCTATGTAATCAAGTTATATATGTACCTTCCTCAATATAGTCATGCCTATTGTCAAATTTTTTAGCTATGTTCAACAAACTAAATTAAACTTTTTAGATAATTTAAATTAAATAATGATTAATGATTAGGTGATTCAAAGATGAAATTGCCTTTGAATTATGTGAAATAAATCAGTATATCTTTTATATTTTGGGATCAAAAATGTCCTTGCCGTTATTCTAAGAGACGACAAACATCCTCAAGAGTTAACATCCCAAATTTATAGTGATGTGGCAAGCCACCTAAGAATAAAATGTTGCTAACTAGAATTAACTTTGAAAAAAAACTAGACCTTCTACGCACAAAAGTCGTCATGAAAGTCCAAAATATTGCCACTAAAGGTTTTAACTTATTTTTAGCATTAAATTTCGAATTTGTGTTTTTTCTTCATCATTTTTAAAAAATTACAAATAATACCGGTCAAGAAGGAGCTTTAAGAAATTGTAAGTTTTATTCTTATGTCATATGTATTGCGTAAAATGTACAATGATGTACTATGTCATAGGTGATTTGAATCGATAGGTAATTTTGATGATTTTTGTAATAATATTTAATGTTTTTCATATTGATAGTGCATGTTATTTATTTTAGAAAATTAGGTTGCAACCAAAAGTTATTTATCCTTTTTTGGTTGAAAAATATGTCTTACTAGCGAAGGATTGTTTCAGCCTTACTCGTCACTAAAAATCACTCTAAACGTTTAGTGATAATATTTTTAGATTTTGTGACGACTCTTTTCGTTGCGAAAAGTGTAGTTCCTTTGTAGTAAATTCTAGTTAGCAACGCTTAGGAGGAGGGATTAGTCCCATGTGACTTGACACATCACTAAAAATTTGGGTGGTTAACTTTTGAGGGTATTTGTGGTCTCTTGGAATAACGGCGGGGTATTTTTTTATCCCAAAATGTAATGAAGGATATAAGTGGTATATTTAGCATAGTTCAGAATGCTTTTGATCCTTTTATGTTCATATATTAACAGCTAGAAAGGAAACCATGAGCTTCAGGCCTTAAGATTGTGAATAAGCTGGGGAAAACTTTTCTTGTTGTTTCCATATTTGCTAGCTTGTATTTCAACTACTTTGACAATACAATATTATTTTACTCTTCTTCTAATCACTTTATTGTAAATATAGAAGGACTCACAAACTTGATTAATATGTACTTTTGTAAAGAATTCACTAAACTTTCCATAAGGTTCTAGTCTAAATAAACAGGCACAACAGTTTTTAAGAGAGTATAAGATTATGAAAAAAAATGACATAACTCTCATCATAAGGAAAGGGGGGTAGAAGGTGTCAGAGATCATCTTTGTCTTCACCCAAGAAACATCACTAATCCTGCAACCAGACTATACTATATCAAGTGGCAAAGAAAGAGTAGGTGGGATGGTGGCATTGCAAGAGGTTTTTGGTTAATCAATGAGGAAAAACTTTTATTTTTTGGTTGATTAATGAAGGAAAACTCTTATTTAGGGTGGGATGACTATGAGAATGTACGAGGGTTAGGAATAAGTTATAATTAAGCCATGTTGGTTTAATACTTTATCGTATGTTATGAATTGAAATATAGAAGTGGTTCTGTGGGCAATTGATCCGTGAAGAGTCTAGTGAAAAGATTAGATATTGGTATATTGAAGGGCTGTGATTAAATGCAAGTTGATGAGAATCTATGATCAAGATGATGCCACGTGGAGTTGGTTAGGAAGTTGTTATAAAATCGTAGTTAGAGGAGAGATAAGGAACTAACTTTTGGAAATGCAATTTCTTCCCATTTCTATTTCTGCTTCTCTTCTACTCCTTCGATCTTCTGTTTCTCTTCTTCTTCGATTTCTGTTTCTCTTCTTCTCGATCTCACTCTTTCTTCTTTATTGTAATTCAATAATGTCTGCTCAGTAGTTATTTAGCATTGGTTTGTTATAATCGAGAACTTCTAGAGTCAATAAAGTTACGATTCAATTTATAGATTTTCTTTAAATTGTTGAGACTAAAATTTGTGATCTCAGAGAGATCATAACACTTGGTATCAGAGCCTTCGAACTTGTGCAATTGGAGGAGCAATGGATGAAGGAACGCGATGGAAGATCACTAAAGATAATCTAGTTAGACATGATGAAATGCTAGTCGATTTGCTGAATTCTCAGGAAGAGGTATGCCATGCTCGGTCTAAAATTCAAGGAGCATTGAATTTAATTTTGGGAAGGCTGGGTGTATTAGAAAGAGCACCGGCAGTTCCGAATGTGGGAGCAGGTTTGCTGTCCATTCTGAATCCGTACAATCGCAACCGAGCTCAGCTGAATACTGTTGCATTACCTATGTGGGAGTTACCTTGTTTTGCTAGTCAGGAGCCTAAGGTGTGGATCCGAAAGTGTGAGCGCTACTTTATACAGTATAGGGTGGATAATGAACAGAGGGTAGAATTGGCTGCGTTATACTTGAATGATGTTGCCGAAGTTTGGTATCAGTCAATGGTATTAAGTGGAGGAATTCCGAATTGGATCGAGTTTAGGGAGGAACTGATAAGTCGATTTGGGTAAATTGAAGTAGGTGATGTGGTAGAGGAGTTTAATAAACTACAGCAGAGTGGTAATGTGGATGAGTTTTTAGAAAGATCTGAAGATCTTAAGGATCAAATGCTTATCCGTTTCATTGGAGCCTTAAAAAAGGAGATCAAATTTGAGGTTAAAATGTTCAAGCCGACTATGTTGAAGGAAGCTGTAGAGAAGGTGAGGATGAAGGAAATGGCTATTGAAGTTGCACGAAATAGAAGTAAAGGAGTTAACCGAATAGTTACTCCAATTGTGCAGGAGATGGGTAACAAGGGCTCTTCTGCAATCGGTAATATAAATGGTCCTTACCGGCTTAATCCTGAGGTTTACGAGTTTAGGAAGTCCAATCATTTGTGTTTTCGTTATGGGGAGAAATATGGTCCAGGGCATCTATGTAAGACGAGACAGTTGAATTGTCTAACAGGAATTATTGTAAATGAAGATGACAATGAACCTGTGTTGGTAACTGAGGAAAATGAAGAGATAACTATCGAAAGAATAGTAGAACAAGAAGTACAGCAAGTTGTATGTCTAAATGCACTAACGGGACATAATAAAGGAGAGAACACTATCCTTGTTGGAGGGACTGTGAAGAAGCGAGACTTAGCGATATTAATTGATTCAGGAAGCACTCATAGCTTCATCGATAAACACACAGTTACTGCATTAGTCTATCAACCTTGTCCTTGCTTGCCAGTACGAGTTACAGTAGCGGATGGCAACTACGTTATGTGTAATTCTCACCGTAAAGATTTTTCGTGGAAAATGCAGGAAAGAATTTTCACGAAAGATTTGCTCATAATTCCTTTAGGTGGTTGTGCATTGGTGTTAGGAAATAATTGGATGAAGAAACACAATCCAACTAAGTTTGATCACGAACAGAGGTGTGTTACTATAGGCAAAAAGACCAATAAGTTGGTGTTGCCGAGAATTGTAGAGGAGGGAAATTTAAGCATGTTATCTAGTGAAGCCATGAGGAAAATGTTGAAGAAGGGTCAGGATATGGTTACTCATCTTTTTATGATGAATATGGTGACATCAAATGAGGAAGAGGAGGTAGATGAAGTGCTTCAAGAGGTGCTAGTTAAGTATTCATATATTTTTACAAAACCGAAATCACTACCACCAGCTAGAGCCTTCGACCATGAGATACGTCTCAAACCAGGAGTGATGCCAATTAGTCTTAGACCCTATCGGTATAATTTCCATCAAAAGAACGAGTTGGAAAAGCAGGAAAAGGAGATGTTAAGCAGTGGAATAATACAAGCGAGTCAATTTCCTTATTACTCACTTGCACTATTTGTAAAGAAAAAAGATGGGACATAGAAATTTTGTGTTGACAATCGAGGCTTGAACGACTTGAACATCAAAGAAAAATATCCAATTCCTATAGTGGATGATTTTTTGGATGAATTACATGGTGCTGCAATCTTTTTGAAGGTGGATTTGCACGCTGGATATCATCATATTAGAATGAGAGTGGAGGATGTGCATAAAACTGCTTTTTGGACTTACATGGGACATTACGAGTTTCGAGTGATGCCCTTCGGACTCACTAATGTGACAGCAACATTTCAAGCGTTAATGAATCAGTATTTTCAATCGTTTCTCCAAAAATTTGTTTTCATCTTCTTTGATGATATATTTATATATAGCAGAAGCAGAGATGAGCATTCGAGGCATTTACAGATTGTATTTGAGACTTTGAGAGCTAATGTACTATTCGCTAAAAAGTCTAAGTGTTCTTTTGGTGAAGCTCACGTGGAGTATTTAGGACATATTATTACAGATGAAGGGGTGTCTACAAATCCTAACAAGATTAAAGCTATGGTGGATTGGCCTAGACCTAAGTCATTAGGAGCTTAAGAGGATTTTTGGGATTAACCGGTTACTATCGTAAGTATGTGTAGAATTATGGAACTATCAGCAGGCCACTCATAGATTTGTTAGGTAAAGAGGCTTTTAAATGGAGTGTGGATGTCGAGACTGCTTTCGAAAACCTTAAAGTAGCTATGAACACTACGCCTGTATTGACTCTTCCTGATTATACACATGAATTTGTGGTTGAAACCGATGCCATTCATGGGGGTATTGGAGTTGTAATTATGCAGCAAGGAAGGCTGATAGCTTTCTTTAGCAATTTTTTGGCTACTAAACATCGGGGCAAGTCGATATACGAGAAGGAATATATGGCTTTACTCAATGCAGTAGATAAATTGAGACATTATTTGCAGTTCAAACACTTTGTGGTTAAGACTGATCACCATAGTTTGAAGTACTTTTTGGAATAGCAGGTCACTTTGTCTATTCAACGGAAGGGGTTAATTAATTACTCGGTCTTGATTATGAGGTGCGATACAAAAAGGGAACAGAGAATCGAGTAGCGGATGCTCTATCTAGAAGACAAGAAGGTCTACAGAGCGATGAAAATCAATCCACAGGTCTGCTTATGGTTGTAAGTGTGATCACACCTACGTGGATACAAGAGATTATGCATAGTTATAATGAGGATACATACGTTCAAGAGTTGATTACACTGTTATCAGTAAATGTGCATGGGCCTAGTTTATGGCATAACGTTAATGGTGTGTTAAGGAAGAAAGGCAAGGTTTATGTGGGATCTACAGGACCTTTACGACAACAACTCATATCTACTTTTCATGATACTCCTTTAGGAGGACATTCGGGTCAATTGGGCACCTTCAAAAGGTTGGCTCATTATTTCTATTGGCCTAAGATGAGATCTATGGTGAATGACTATTTAGCTCATTGTGAGATTTGCCATCGTAATAAGGACGATAATGCAGCATATCCGGGTCTACTCCAACCATTGTCGATTCCTAATCAAGCTTGGAGTAATATAAGTATGGACTTTATTGAGGGTTTACCAAAGTCGAAATCTAAGGATGTTCTTAGTAGTGGTCGATCGATTTACGAAGTATGCTCATTTTATAGCCTTGGCTCATCCATATACTGCAGCAACCGTGGCTGAATTGTATTAAAGACAAATCCACCGATTAAATACTACTCCTGACTATATTGTTTTAGATCGAGATAAGGTCTTCTTAAGTCGATTTCGGCAGGAGATGTTCAAACTTTTGGGGAATCAATTGCACTATAGTTCAGCCTATCATCCTTAGAGTGATGGTCAAACTGAAAGAGTCAATATGTGCGTTGAAATTATCTTCGATGTATGACTGCAAGTCGTCCTACACAATGGAAACAATGGTTATCGACTGTGGAATGGTGGTATAATACGAATTTTCACATAGGTCTGCAGTGTACTCCATTCGAAGCATTGTATGGTTATACTCCCCCTCAACTTTCCATTGGTCCTCTTTTGGAAACAATGGTACAAGTTGCAGAGGATGTTGTGATGCACAGGCGACAGTTCCTTCAATTGTTGAAAGACAATTTAACTACTACCCAAGCTAGAATGAAGTTTTTTGCTGATGGAAACAAAACTGAGCATAAGTTTTCGGTCGGAGATTGGGTATACTTAAAACTGCAATCATATGGTTAGATGTCCGTTGCATTGAGAAAGAATTTGAAGCTTACTTCTAAGTATTATGGTCCTTACTTGATAACAGAAAGGATTGGGTTAGTGACTTATAAATTAGGTCTTTTATCTACTTCAAAGATTCATATGATATTTCATGTTTCGTTGTTGAAGAAGAAAGTAGGCAATCGTGTGGTAGTTCAATATGAATTACCTTATACGAACGATGAAGGAAATTTTTTGGTTAAGACGGTGACAATTTTGCAGCTCCAGATGGTAAAAAGGAAAAATGCAGCTATGGTGCGAGTTTTGGTTCAGTGGTCTAATCTTCCACCGGAGGATGCTACGTGGGAAGATTACGATTTTTTACGCGCTAAGTTCCCTGGTTTTGATTCTCATCCTTGAGGTCAAGGATGTATTGATGGAGAAGGGAATGTTATGAATTAAAATATAGAAGTGGTTCTGTGGGGAATCGATCCGTGAAGAGTCTAGTGAAAAGATCAGATATTGATATATTGTAATGCTGGGATTAAAAGCAAGTTGATGAGAATTTGTGATCCGGATGATGCCACGTGGAGTTGGTTAGGAAGTTCTTATAAAATGGTAGTTAGAGGAGAGATAAGGAACTAACTTTTGGAAACGCAATTTGTTCCCATTTCTGTTTCTACTTCTCTTATTCTTATTCTTCGATCTTCTTCAATTTCCTGTTTCTCTTCTTCTCAATCTCACCCTTTCTTCTTTACTGTAATTCAATAATGTCTGCTCAGTAGTTACTTAGCTTTGGTTTGTTGTAATCGAGAAAATCTAGAATCAATAAGTTGCGATTTGATTTTTAGATTTTCTTTGAATTGTTTTGACTGAAATTTGTGATCTCAGAGAGATCATAACATCATATTGTTATCTATAGATGTAGAACAAGTCAAGATTCATAAGAAAGATAAGACCCAAGTTTAATAGAGCTTCCAAGAGGGAATGAGAAGAGCTAGGGCATTCACTGGTAAACTTCCTAAATTATTTGTTTGGTTTTCCTGATTGTCACATTGATTGTTTCGGATTCATTTTTTTAGAGCATACTCAATAATACATGTGCAATGTAGGGGTGTACAAAACCGAACTCAAACCGAAAAAAACCCGACTAATAGTTTGGTTTGACTTGGTTTGGTGTTGGAAAAAAACCCGACGATAATATTGAATATTTGTTTTTTTAGTTTTACATAGATTTAGACAATTAAAATACATGATCTAATCTTACTTTCTTTTAATATTTAGTCATGTAACTAATACATACTAAACTTATTTTAGCACTTTAAATTATGATCAATTTCATTATGACTTATTTGTTGATTAATATTTTTTGTTATTTTCTTGAGAAATAACATAGATAATTGAATTTTGGTAGGATTAAAGAAAATAGTTGAAGTATACGTAAATTATATGTTTGTATAGATACTTTATCGAAAAAACCCGAAATCCAAAAAAACCCGAATACCCCAAAGAAACCCAAAAAAGCCCGAAGTTGATAAACCTGAGTTTATTGGTTTGATTTGGTTTATAAATTCAAAATCGGATACGAATAATTTGGTTTGATATTTGAAAAATTCGAATCAACCCGATCATATACACCCCATACAATGGATGCTATTTTGCTGCAGCTTCAAAATACATTATTCTTCAATCTGAAAAATGTTCATCTTAACTTTTTCCATTTAGATGTTGTTGTGAAATTTGACAATTTGTTGTTCGATTTGAGGAGTGAATAAAAACTTCAAATTTGGAATCTTGTGAATTTTCATTTACACTTGCACTAAATAAATTAGAGGCATTAAGAAATGTTTAACTAATTCAGTATTTCAATGATTAAAGATGATATAAAACATAAGGTTAGTGTTATTAATTAGTTGTGCTTTTCTAATTGCTTATTGGACGCTCAATTTGATACTATTCTGTTGCTGGAAATTTTTTTGTGATTTTACGGAAGCCGCTACACGCTATGTCTCTTAGGAGGAGGTCTTCAAACTACAAAAGTTTCAAGTAAGGGACTTGAGTTGGACATTAATTTCTGCTTCTTTTGGTATTTTTGTCATTGAACTCAATTTCTAGTTCATCTTTTTGTCTGTTATAGTTTTTTATTTATTTTGGGGGGTGGGGGGTGGGTCGATCGGCTGGTGTGAATTCTGAATTTAAAGTATAATGACTGTTAAATATTAATCTGTTAGTTATTCTATGTGTACAGTCAGAGTAGTTAGTTACAAGTTACAATTTCCATCAACTTATATATTAGAAGAAAGTAGTTGGTACCAACATCAGGCATATGTAGAACCTTGTATTGATACATTCATGTACAATTGATTGATGAAAATCACAATCTTTTTCTCTGCTTCACTGATATACTTTCTTCTTCATCTTCAGTTGATGAATGAGGAATGATGAAGGTTACTGAAGCTTTCATTGTATTAGAGTTTGTGTAGGTGAGCTGAGCCTATTCTTCTCACTTCACTTCCAACTTCCTTTTCTGTTAGATTTCTCTCCAAATTATAGTGCAATTGCACTTGATTGTCTTTCATTAATTTCTTCTTCTTCAATTGGAAGTCTCTTGAATTCGAGATCTGCTAGGATGGCGATTGGAAATGATAAAACTGAGCATGTCGGTGCTTCAATGCGTTCTCACACTGTGGTTTCAAACACAGTCGCAATTGATCAGCATCATCCATTGTTTCTTCAACCCAATGATACTCCAGGTAAATCCTTGATCTCTGTTAAGCTCACTGGTTCTGAAAATCATGCATTATGGAGTATTCTATGAAAATCAGTATGTTATGTAAGAGAAAATTGGGGCTTGTTGATCACCATTCTAGATACACTTGGATTTTCTTGCTACCTATGTAATTGCTCCCTAAGAGTTTTCTGCTTATGGTAAAAACTTTATATGATGTCTCGGTGAAATATCTTAGAACTGAGTTTTTCAGCTCTTCTATTGCTGAGTTCATTCATTTCTTAGGCATTATTCATCAAAGTTCTTTTGCCTACAACTCTCAGCAAAGTGGTGTTGCTGAGAAAATACATAGACGCATTTTGAATATTGTTTGAGCCCTTAGGTTTCAAGCATCTGTACCCTTGAGATTCCAGGGTGAGTGTGTCTCCGCAGCTGTGTATTTGATAAATAGGTTACCTAGTGATGTGTTGTCTGATCAAACACCTTTTACTGTGTTACATAAGACACCTTCCAAGTATGATCATCACAAGGTGTTCTGGTGTCTTGGATATGCGAATGTCTTGAGTTTTATCCCAAGGCTGTCTCTGCAGTATTTCTTGGCTACTCTATGACACAAAAGGGTATAAAATGTTTCTTATTCACTCTAGAAAGTTCATGTTCAATTCAAGAAGATGTGTTTCCGTTTCCAACTATGGATACTCCCCTTTCATCTCTATTTCAGTGCTACCACAGACAGTTGATACAACCCCTACCAACATCGGAACTGTCTTTATTCCTAGTAATGAGGTCACTCCTCTTGTCCAACTGATCAGTGTGACAATGGTCCCTCTCTATCTTGTGAAGTTACTCCTGGTACCAGTATTCCTGAATTAGCTGGTGAGAGTGCCAGACCTTTAAAAGGAAGGAAATCTACTAGAACCATCAAATCACTTAATTGGCTAAGATTCTGTTACCAAGGGTACAACTCCAACCATCTGCTGCTATCTCATTATATACTACATCAACTATGACATTCTCCTTTATTTGGAACAACCCTCAGTACCTATTCTAATATTCCAGAGCCCTCTACTTATAACAATGAGAGATGAAAATGGTAGCAGCCATGAAGTCAAAAATTTCTGCATTAGAAGAGAACTACACTTGGAGTATAGTAAATCTTCCACCAGGAAAAAGTCCTATTGGCTGAAAATGGGTTTTCAAAGTGAAGTATATAACTTCAGGAGAGGTTGAGGAGTATAATGCAAGGCCGATAGCCAAAGGGTATAGTCAGCAGGAAGGTTTGGACTACACTGAAATATTTTCTACTGTAGCAAAAATGGTCACAATAAAGTCCATCATTGCAATACTTGTGTCAAAATATTGGTCCATTTTCCAACGGATGTCCACAAAGCCTTATTGCAAGGTGATCTATTTGAGAAGGTCTACATGGACATTCTACAAGGCTTTGCTACTGAGGTTGAGACTCATAAACTGTGCAAACTGCAAAGTCCCTTTATGGACTTAAGCAGGCCCCTAGACAACAGAATAAAAAGCTTAGTGACACTCTACTTCTTCTTGGTTTCTCCCAAAGTCATTTTGATTATTTTCTCTTTACTAAACACGTTGGACCAGAGTTAGTGGTGGTGTTGTTTTATGTTGATGATCTATTGGTTACAAGCAGCAGTCCCTCTCTGATTCTACAAACTACGAATGACTTAAAACTTAAGTTGAAGATGAAAGACTTGGGTGAACTTAAGTTCTTTCTTGGCATTTAATTTTCCGGATCAAGGAAGGGGATGGTGATGTGTCAAAAGAAGTATGCCCTGGAGTTTATAGCTAAAATGAGGCTCAGTGGTTCTAAACCTGCTAGTTCTCCCCTACACTCTTCTATCAAGCTCACTTCTGTTGAGTATGACTCTTTCATTCATAAGGAGAATCCAGACTATCATATAAATGATCGTTTATTACCAGATATCAGTATCACAGGCTAGTGGAAAGATATTACTATATCTCACTATGACAAGGATGGATATTGCTTTTGTGGTACAAGTCTTGAGTCAATTTATGCACAAACCAAAACACTCTCATATGGAAGATCCTTTGAGGGTTGTCAGGTACATCAAAGGGGCACCGGGACTCGGCCTACTAACGCCAGCTAAATCATCTAGTACTTTGGAGGCTTTCTGTGACTCATATTGGGCAGGATGTCTTCAAACCAGAAAATCAATTACAGGTTCCCTAGTTAAGATATAGGTGCCTTGATTTCATAGAACTCAAAAAAGCAAGACGCCATCTCTAGAAGTTCAGCTGAGGCAGAATTTAGAAGTATGACATCAGTGTAGCTGAATTGACATGGCTGGCATGGTTGTTTAAAGAGCTTGGGATAAGTATTCATCAGCCAATACATCTTCAAATAGCTTCATGAAAGGACTAAACTCATAGGCATAGACTGCCATTTTGTGAGAGACAAGACAGTGCAGGGTATGATTAAAACTCAGCATGTTCCAACTAAAGAACAAATTGCAGATCTACACACTAAGAGCATTGGAAAGCGACAACTCGTTATCTTTTTTCCAAGCTGGGATTGAAAGATATATTTCAACCATCAGCTCAATGAAGGGTATTAAATAATAGTTTGTTATTAATTTGTTAGTCAGTTAGTTATTCTATGTGAAGAGTCAGAGTAGTTAGTTACAAGCTACAACCGTCATAAATTATAAGAGAAGTAAGTAGTTGGCACCAACAGTAGGTATATATAGGACCTGGTATTGATACATTCATGTACAATTGATCAATGGGAACCACAATCTTTTTTTATCTGATTCACTCATACTTTCTTCTTCATTTTGAGTTGATGAATGATGAAGGTTACTGAGGCTTTCAATGATCACTTACCATACAATTGGTTCATCCTATTTTGAAAAGCTGCAAACTAATTGAGTAATGGATCTATTGCAACTTTGATTTATAAGAAAAAAAATTGAAGAGAAGGGTGTGATGAAGAATATATATGTGGCTATTAAATGCCAATTTTTTTAAAGCTTTCATTTACTAAATATTCATTTGGCTAAAACATGACAATTTAATCTAAGAATTGTAGTAAAATTTTTTGGTCTATATAAGCAAAGGTACAACCACAAAAGCTCAGCTACACAAGTATAATATTGCCAAACACCAATTGAAAATTTAGAATTCCTTTGACAATAGCTGAGGGAGTTCAATTGTCCCTCGCCTTATTTATAAGAAAGAGTATATACTTTCCTTTTTCTAGTAACCAAATGGAACCCAAATCAGAAATTTCATCAAGTGTATCTGAAATTTTATCAAAGATCAATATTGAAGAGAGTATATGTATATACATACGGAAGTAATGAAGGATCGTATACTTCAAAAATGTTTTTATATTGTATAATTTTTCTCAAAGAATGTTCAACTGACTATATGTGACTACACCACTAATAAACAAGGTGAAATATCAATGACACTTTTGTGAAATCATAACAAGACAAGAACAAAGCTCCCTAGGTTTAGAGAACATGACCATGTGGCCTGCATCTTGAATCATGTGGACCTCATCTGGTGGATTATTGTTAATCAACCACCTTTGAAATTGTTGTTCATTGAGCACATTGTCCTTTTCACATACAACATAAACACGATGAACACTACCATATTTCTCTTTGGAAAGTTCAGTGTTTGTCAATAGGACTGATTCATCGAAGAATGGTACGGGCCTAACCAAATATGTTGCAAGAGTTAAGTCCTGTAGAGTGCCATAGACAAAAATTATTGAATCTTATCAAAAAATAATTGAATTATGTGAAAAGGGCTGACTTTGAGATAAAGACTCATTTATGTCATATGATAAAAGTTTGGTTATCTTTGTCATTTACATTGACAAAAGGCTTACTATGCCATGATGAGTTAACTGAAAACTCATCCGATTTCGCAAAATCATTTTATCCACATGACAATGATAATTTGACCACATCATTAGTTTAATTAATTTTTTGAATTAGTCAATTGCTTCCAAACTATTATCCTAGAAATAATATACTCAGCAACCATAGGTACAATTAACACACAAAAATGTAAGGATTTGAAAGTTAAGGGAAAATAACATTATAATTTTTTTTGGGTTGAAAAATAATTAGTTTATTGTTGATACATACTCACCTCAGGAGGGCAGAATTGATAGTAGATGGTTGCTAAGACTTTAGGACCTAAAACGACAGAGGTTGGGCCTTTATCCAGTCCTTTGTTATACACAAATTCAGTATCCATAGGTTCTTCCATTTGTTGAATAAACTGTCAATTTGCAAACATAAACAATGATTACTTTTTAGTATATTAGCAGTAAAATAGTTGTAATACATGTACATTCAATAACCTTGGAAATTCAGGTTTTTGAACTTTTGATCACTACGTGTTGTATGTACAATTATTTTTTTTAAGATCAAAGAGTAAGACTTATTACATTTGAAATTTTGTCTACGGCATAAGCAGAATTAGAAGTATAAGATTATCCGCCAAGAAAGTTATTTTTATGGATCGCCACGGATTAACAACATTAAAATAAGGTTGTTAAGTGTAACGAACTACTCCGACTGTTATTAGTAGACCAATTAATGCTGAAAGAAATTAGTCTAAAATTTTTTTGGGTAGTGGCTTGTATTTCTAGGCTAGGCCAGACAAAATCTGAGCAAGGTAAGGTCTAGAGATATCTAGGGTGTTACTCCTAAGGTTGGGGGTGGTGGGGTGTAACTTGATTAGTGACGGGAAAAGCCCTGTTTTGGGTAGAATGATCATGAGTTGGCTTGGGATTAGGATTTGTGTATAGTATTGGTATTGCTAGGCCATCATTGTCTGATTGTTGTGTTTTATTATTTATTTTGACCAAGAACGATCAAGGCATTGATAAAGGGGAAAGCTTGAGTTCTTTATAGATCCTAAATGCTTGATTCAAGGTAGGTGATGATTGCGTTTTCAAGTATGTAATGTATGCATGTCTATTGCATTATAATATTACTTGTGCGATGCATGTGACGAAACTGAAGGCTAATGTGAAATGAATTATGTTGATAATCTCATGCAATGAATATGTTATTTACTTATAGGTAGAACTCTAGAAGTATGATTGTTTATTGTGATTATGGTTGTGTGTGCTTCTTGTGAATGATGGTTGGCGTGGGTACCATGCCGGTATAAAATAGTAACGGTTGTCTCAAATACCACATATGTATGAATTATTTATGGTTGGTCCGGATACTGCACCGGTACCCTAATAGTTTGTGTGTGAATTCCATGAAAGAACCAAATTTACATGTTGGTTCCATGGAGTAAACCAGTTTTACTTTTTCATAATGTGATTATGGCATGTTGGTCCATGAGAGGATCAGGTATGTGTATTTTTGTGATCATGTGGGGCAGTTTTTATGCATTGGTTGATAAGGATATTGTGACTTGGAGTCTGTATTACTATACTGTAGTTACATGTTTACATTCATGTTTTGGAATTATTCGTATGATCCTATCAATACACGACTGTTGTATATTGATATTGTACTTGTTTTTTTTGTTGTTGAGTACAAGACATATTCAAGCGGCTGATACTAGACCTTAGTTGAGAGGCGTTTGACCTCCAAATTCAAGGGTGAGGTGGTCTTCCGGGCTATCATGGATTCTTTCAGATTTCTTTTTCAATCTTTTTGGACACACATTTTAGACTATTAGGCTAGTGTTTTCTAGTTTTCGGGGTTGTATCCCCACTAGTGAATATTTAGAGTTTTGGTGTTATCACATTCAGATTCTAGGGGTTAAATATTAGGATGATTTATTGAGTTTATGTGAGCTCAGTAATTTATTTATTTTTAAATGATTTCTTAATATTATAGTAATTTGGTTTCGCAAAGTGCTAGATGAGTTAAGTTGGGTTACAATTGGTTCTCCCACCAGAGGATTTGTATGGGTGCCACTCACGGTGGGCGATGATTGTGACATGAAGTTATGTGTTAAGTACTTTACATATTGAATACGTTGACATTATTGTAATATTATTTTGTCCTATCAATGTTGTTGAGGTAATGAAGTTTTGATGATTTGATACATAAGTTGAAACACGGTAGTCAGCATGGTCCACAGGAACAATGAACTAAGCTGGGAAAATTCAAGAACATACGAATAAAATGTGTCAAGACAAGTGTGCAGGGATGACAGAGTGGATAATGTTATTTACGAGATAAATCGTAAGGAGTCTGAGTGAAGAGTTGGAGTTCAATAACAAAACTGATGAACAAATAAGTTTGATTAAAGGAGGAGAGTCCAATTCAAAGAAGAACTCAAAGACAACAGAGGTCAAGTTATAGAAGAAGCGGCTTCTGACTAGGTGTCTGCTTGAAGTGAAGCATTCTGATAGTTATGTTTGGATAGAGGAAGAGAGTCAATAAAAACTTGAAAACTAATATAGCAAAGAGGTAATTGACATATTGACTTTTCTGAAGTGTAGCTGAATTTTGAAGCAACACTTCAAAGAACCAGGCCCTATTACAGAATTTATGTTCTGTGAAGGTTTTCATTGTGTGTATGTCTTGATGTACTGATAGTTTAGTAAGTTATAACCTGACATTGGATCATTTTCTTCGAGTTAAGGGCAACTCAAAGACTTCGAGTTAGGAACACACGCCTTGGAGGTTTTTTGTAGCATGGGGCTTAATGACTATTCGTAGATTACGTAACTTTGTAATCCTATTTGTTGAGGCTAATTATTGTAGTGAAGTTTGGGAGTAAATGTCTGTTGTGGAACAAGTCATACACCTTTTTGAGTGGTGTTTCCATGTTAAGTTATGTGTAATTAGTTTACTGTCCTTACGTTATAATTGAAACACGTTAGGCAACTTGTTCACCTAGGGAAGAGTATATATAAGTAAGATAATTCTAGGTCATGTAGAATATCAACTGATATTAGAGCAGGTTATGAAACATTCAAGATGAAGGAAAACAAACCACTTCTAGAGATTATTACTACACTCACACTCTAATCAATTTGTTCTCATCCCTAATCAATTTGTTCTCATCCCTAAGAAAGGTTCTCATTACTAAGGAATAGGTTGAAAAAGTTTTGAGGGTTCTTTCAAAGGTAAAATGGGATGTCAAAATTACTGTCATTAGGAAAGATAAAGATTTCTCCGTCGTGACATTTGATCAAGTAGTAGGAAACCTCAGAACTTATGAGATGAATATGAATGATTTGAGAAAAGAGAAAATATTTCATGATAAGTCACCAGCCTTGAGAGTATTTGATGGTGAACAATCTGATCTAGATGAACAACAAATGACATTCCTAGCAAAAAAATCAAGAAGTTCTTTTTAAATAAGATAGGGAAATGACAAGAAGGAAACATTTACAAGTGTGAACGACTGATGATCATGCTTGGAAATGTTCTCAATGTAGAAAACATTGAAGGAGAATACTATCTTTAGAGAGAACTCAAGATTTATATAGATTACTTAAGGCTAGTTGAGATATTACAAACATCAACTACATCACTACTCAAAATAGAAAACAAAAAGTCTTGCACAATTAACTAGATACATGTATCATAAATTACTGGACACATGTATTATAAAATCCTAAAAGACTTCTTGAGAAATTAAAAGACAATATTGAAATACTAAGCATCAAGGTGTGAATACATTAATTCCATCGCTCAATGGTATGTTGAATGGAGGAAAGAAAGAGTTGAAAATGAATTAAAAGGAAAGGCTGCAAATACAAAAGAAAAAGAAGAATGTGCTGTGATTGCTGCTTGAGGATTAGGAACTG